CTGTGAGTTCAAGGCCAGCCTGGTCTACATAGCGAGTTCCAGGACAGCCGGAGCTACAGGGAGACCCTGTCTCGAAAAAGACCAAAAAAAAAGAGAGAAAGAAAAAAAAAATTTTTTTTTTTAAATTTATGTTTTTAGTTTTTGGTCTTTTTGAGACAGGGTCTCTGTGTAATCCCTGGCCCGGAACTCATCTTGTAAAGCAGGCTGGCCTTGATTTTACAGAGATCCACCTGCCTCTGCCTCCTGAGTCCTGGGATCAAAGATGTGCACCACCACACCTGGCAGATATTTCCTTGATTACTTGCATGTTTGGTAATATTTTTATTGGGTACTAGACTATTATTATTATTTTTGTCTTTTTGAGACAGGGTCTCTCTGTAGCCCCAGCTGGCCTCCAACTCACAGAGATCTGCCTGCCTCTGCCTCCCAAGTGCTGGGACGAAAGGCGTGCGCCACCACGCCTGGCCTATTATTTCTTTATGAGTGTATTGTCTGCATGTACATAAGTGTACCCAAGTCATGCAGTTGCCATGGAGGTCAGAAGGGGGTGTCTGATCCCCTCAAACTAGCGTTAGGATGGTTGTTAGCCACCTTGTGGATGCTGGGAATTGTACTCCTGTCCTCTGCAGGAGCAGCCAGTGCTCTTGACTGCTAAGCCCCATTTCTCCAGCCCAGGTACTAGACTTTTACTACTTTTTGAGACAGGTCTGCCTGTAGCCCCACCTGACCTGGAACTCACTATGTAGCTGGGCTTATTTTTATTTTTAAGATTTAAGTATGTGTGCATACAAGTGCATGCGTGCACACACATAAGCTCATGAATGTAGTTTTTTGCAGAGGCCAGAATGAGGTGTTGTAGCCACTGGAGCTGCAATTAACTAAACTTGGGTCTTGTACAGGAGCAGTGTTCATCCTTAGCTGCTGAGCTCCAGCCCCTGGGCATTTTGACGCTTGATATTATATACTGGAGTCAAGAAGTAGAACTGGCTTAGTTTCAGGGTTGAACACATTGTTTTTACAAATACCACAGAAATAGTTTACGAGAATCATGGTTCATAAATTTAGAGGACAGACTCCTCTGTCTGTGGTTATAAATTTGAATTTGCAGAGACAAAAAATACCTTTTTAAAAAAATTCTGTACATTCTTTGTATTAAAGAGAGGATGGGAGCTACTGTTTATTCTTGAGTGTGTGCCAGCATTAAGGGAGGTCTCGGGGAAAACATAAAACACTTTGTAGAGCCCTTCCAGCAGCCTGCTTTGGGTGTATGCCAAGGAGTGGTATCACCGGATCACATGGTTGATTTATTTTTAGTTTTTAAAGAATTCTCTACACCGATTTTCACAGTGGTTACACCAGTTTGCATTCCTACCAGCAGGGTTTCCCTTTCCCCACATCCTCACCAGCCTTTGGTGTCATCTGTTCTCTTGATTTTAGCCAGTTTGGGGTAAGATGAAATCTTTTTTTAAAAAATTTTTTTATTTTTATTTTATATATATGAGTGTATTGCCTGCATGTGTGTAAGTGCACCCATGTTGTGCAGTGCTCATGGAGGTCAAAAGATGGTGTCACATTCCCTGGAACTGGAGCTACATATGGTTGTTAACCACCATGTGGGTGCTGGGAATCAAATCTGGGTCCTCTGCAAGAGCGGCCAGTGCTCCCAGCTGTTGAGCCATCCAGCCCTATAAGATGAAATTTTTTTTTTTTTGGTCTTTTTTGAGACAGGGTCTCCCAGTAGCCCCAGCTGTCCTGGAATTCACTATGTAGACCAGGCTGGCCTTGAACTCAAAGAGATCCGCCTGCCTCTGCCTCCCACATGCTGGGATTAAAGGCGTGTGCCATCATGCCTGGCCCAAGATGAAATCTTAAAATGGGTTTGATTTTCATTTCCCTACTTACTAAGGATGTTGAACAATTTAAAGATGTTTCTTAGCCATTTTTATTTCTTCTTTTGAGAGCTCTCTCCTCAGATCCATAGCCCTTTTTTGTTGTTTTTAAATTTATTTGTATGTGTATGAGTGCCTTGTCTGAATGTAAGTGCACCCATGTCTTGAAATGCCTGCAGAGGCTAGAAGAGGGCATCAGATCCCCTGGAACTGGAGTTACAGAAGGTCGTTAGTGGCCATTAGGGTGCTGGGAACTGAACCTGTGTCCTCTTGCAATGACAGTGGCTTAGCCACTGAGCCATTTTCAGGCACCCCCCCAGCCCATTTTTTTGAGTCATTTGTGTACTTTTTTCTTTGTTTATTGAGTTCTTTATATATTTTAGATATTAGTCCTTTATCAGATGTATATAGCTGGTGAAGATTTTCTCCCACTTTTGTGGGCTTCCTCTTCATTCAATTGGTTGTTTCCTTTGCTGCGCAGAAACCTTTAAGTTTAATAGGGTCCCGTTTGTTAATTGTTGACCTTAATTCCTGAGTGACGGGTCTGATTTAGAAAGTCATATCTCGGGGCTGGAGAGATGGCTCAGTGGTTAAGAGCGCTGACTGCTCTTGCAGAGGACCTGGGTTCGATTCCCAGCACCTACGTGGTAGCTACGAACCGTCCTTAACTCCAGTTCCAGGGGAATCCGAAGCCCTCTTCTGACCTCTGTGGCATTGCACGACACGGGTACACTCACATACATGCAGGCAATACACTTGTACACATAAAATATATAAAAGAAAAAAGAAAGTCATTTCTTGTACCTGTGTCTTATAGGTGCTACCCGTGTTTTCATCTAACAGTTTCAGCATTTTAAGTCTTTTGGAGTTGCCTTTTATGTAGTGTCTAATTTCATTTTTCTCCACATGGAGACCCAGCTTTGCCAGCACTGTGTATTGAAGATGCTGTCTTTCCTCCGGTGTCACATGGCATTTGCTTGACCTTCATCATTGTCTTCTGTACTCTGGACATTTTAGTCATACGTTGTGGAACCATCATTGACTTAAGTTTTTTTTTAATTACATTTTCTGTGTGTATATGTGTGTGTACAAAACATTTGGAGGTTACTGAGTGGGGTAAGTTCTTTGTTTTCATAGTGTGGCTTCCGGAAATTAAACTCAGGTCATTAAGCTTGGCAGCAAGTACCTTTACCTACTGAGCCATATTGCTGGTCCTGGCTTAAGTTTTGTTTGGTTTTGTCTTGTTTTTTGTTTTTTTTTTTTGAGGCAAGGTTTCCCTGTAGCTCCAGCTTACCTGGAACTCACTATGTAGAGCAGGCTGGCCTTGATATCATAGAGATATGCCTCTTGAGTACTGGAATCAGTGTTATGAGCCACCAGGCCCGGGCCAGGCCCGGGTAAGCCTGGCTTAAGTTTTTTTAATTCTTATTTTGACACAGGGTTTCACTGTGTAGCCCTGGCTGGCATTGAACTTGCCTGCCTCTGCCTGGATAGTGCTGGGGTTAAAGGCTGGTGCCACCACATCAGGCCTCTTAAGAAGTTTTGACAACCTGTTAGTGGGTAGTTAAGTCCTGTCCTTCATTTGATCAAGAAATTGATGTCCCTTGTTGACTCCTCTATGCTTAGCACAGTGCCTGGCAGTTAACCACCCCCTAGGTGAGCACACTTGGGTTTACAGTGGTGAAATTGAATGTATTAATTAGGACTCTGAATTGCAAATGAGTGAAAACTAAGGTTGCCTTAAGAGAAAGTCAGAAACACTCGACTCTTTATTGGGATGAAAGAACTGAGGGTCGGTAACCATAAGTTTTCCTGCATCCAGGTGCCCATTGTCATCAGGGTCCCCTGCTTGTCTCAGCTCTGCTGTTCTTGGTGTTGGTTTAATCTAGCACAGGTTCCCCCCTAACTGTGGCACATGGGCTAGTTAATGAGAAGTTCCAGGGTTGCTTAATCTGCTTACCCTGAGTTCTTTTTCAACAGTTCAAATGAAAGACCTGGATTGACCACTTACTGTGTTAGTGTCTGTATCGGAGCACATTGTGGTGGGCAAGCAAGCCGGTAGAATATGTAGGCATGTTCTGGATGAGGAATAAGAGTGGTCAACAGTGACCCAGGCTTTAAAGGAAAGTAGAGTGTGGTGCTGTGCACCTGCCATCTCAGTATATGATATGCTGAGGCAGGAAGATGTCGAGTTTGAGGCCAATCTGAACTACATACATACATAAAGGCCAGTCTGAATTATATCCATATATTAATTCCAGCCTGAGCTACTTAGCAAACCCTCTGTCTCAAAGCAGTAAGAGGAAGGCCAGTGTTAACATTGTTAGATGAAAGGTGGACAGACACTGGGCAGTTGGGCAGGCGACAGCAACTCCTTAATTAAGGTCCAGGTAATTGAAATCCAAGTGGAAATGGGATTCTATTAATAACTTTGCTAGCCTTAAGTAAAGTTGGAGTACTAGCCTGAGGTAAAGTCTGGGGTACATTTAAGCATTGAGTCATTTCTGCCTGTTTGTTCAGTCACTGTTGAATGCTGTCTTCTAGGAGTTAAACTTCTGGGGATAGAGGAAAATCAGAAAACATAAAGAGATAATTGGGGCTGGAGAGGTGGCTCAGCAATTAAAGAGCTTAAAGAGCATAGGCTGTTCCAGCTCCTGCATGGCTGCCTACAGCTGTCCATAACTCCAGTTCCAGAGACTCCAACACCCTCTTCTGGTCTCTGGGCATTGCATACTCGTGGTGCACTTGGCTTAGATGTAGCACAATATTCATACACATAAAATAAAACCTAATTTTTTTTTTAGAGATTGCCGAGTTGTGTAGTCTCACTACTTTAGGATTCCAGAAGAGGGGCTGGGGATGTAGCTCACTGGTAGAGCACTTGGTTTAGCATGTGCAAGGCCCTGGGTTAATCCCTAACACCACCCCCAAAAGAAAGGTAGTTCGGAAGTGGATAGAAATGAACAGTGGAAGAAAGATTTATTGTTCTTATTACTGTTCTGAGGCATTTTACAGGGAGTTCTGGATTCTAGAATTTACTAACATGCTTACATGCCATATCTTCTCTCCACAGTACTGGACCAAGTACAGACCTTTCTCCCACAACTGGCCCAGGCCAACGAAAAGCTACGAACCGAAATGGCAGTTGCTCCACCTGGCCATTTCAATATTGAAAATATTGATGAAACTTCTGGAAACGTTATACAAATGGTAACAATTGTTTCCATTTCATAGGGTGATGTCAGCACTGTCCTTATCACTAGAAGGGGGAAAAAATGTTAGTTTTACGTGTGTATATGCACGTGTGACTGTGAGTGATGGGGGTTGGGCTGTACATTGTAGAGTCGCTCTCTCCTACCTACTCTTTTTCTTGTTGTTGCTGTTGCTTTTTTGTTTGGTTCTTTGAGAAGGGTTTTCTTGTAGCCCCAGCTGGCCTGGAACTCATTATGTAGACCAGGCTGGCCACAATCTCACAGAGATCCACCTGCCTCTTGTGTCTCTGCTGGAATTAAAGGCATGAGCCACTATATCTGTCTTCTACTTTCACTTGGGCTCTGGAGATTGAACTCTTCTTGTACCTTTTACCTGCTGAACCATCTTACCAGCCCTGAAAAACATAGAACCTGAAAGCTAAGAAATAGCTAAACAATCAAAGGAAAAAAATAAAGTGAATATTGGGCATGATAGTCTGTATTAACTTGACCAGTGTGAGGTAAGGTCAAATGTAGGACTGGGCTATGTGTAGCACGATCTTGTCCCCAAAACAAAATGAAGGAGCGGGGAGATAAATAGGAATTATAAAACAAGAAACGTGAGGTTTTCCATTTTATATCCAAGCGCTAATTTTGTATGAACCTGTTTGTGCAGGTTTCTACAGAGGCTAGAAGGGCTGGCCTCAGGCTCACAGAGAGCCACCTGCCTCTGTCTTCCAAGTGCTGGGAAGCACTTGTGAGTGCTTTATGCTCAGCAAGCCTTTTTTTTTTCTAAATGTTTTATTTATTCTGGGGCTGGAGAGATGGCTCAGTGATTAAGAACACTGGTTGTTCTTACAGAAGACCTGGGTTCGAATCCCAGCACCCGCCTGGCAGCTAACAACTGTCTGTAACTCCAGTCCCAGGGGATCTGACAGCCTCTTCTGACCTCGGGCATTGCACGACACAAGTGTACTTACCTACATGCAGGCAATACACGCATATACATAAAATAAAAAATAATTTTTAAAAATTTATTTGGGGCTGGAGAGATGGCTCAGCGGTTAAGAGCACTGACTGCTCTTGCAGAGGACCCAGGTTCTATTCCCAGCACCCACATGGTGGCTATGAATCGTCCTTAACTCCAGTTCCTGGGGAATCTGAAACCCTCTTCTGACCTCCGCAGCATTGCACGACATGGGTGCACTCACACGGAGGCAGTACACTCATACACATAATAAAATAATTTAAAAAAAGTTTTATTTTTGTTTTGTCTTTTTAAATATTTTGTTTTTTAAAATATTTTATTATTTTATGTGTATGAGTGTTGTGCCTGCATGCAGATAAGTGCACCCTTGTCATGCAGTGCTGGCGGAGGACAGAGAGACTGTTAGATCCCTGGAACTGGAGTTACAGACAGTTAGCTGCCATGTGGGTTTCGGGAATTGAACCCAGGTCTTCTGCAAGAACAGTCAGTGTTCTTAACCGCTGAGCCATCTCTCTAGCCCATTATTTTTATTTTATGTGTTTGAGTGTATTGGCTTCATGTGTGTAAGTGCACTCATGTCGTGCAGTGCCTGTGGAGGTCAGAAGAGTCCAAATCCCCTGGAACTGGAGTTATGGATGATTTTTAGCCACCGTGTGGGTGCTGGGAATCGAACCTGGATCCTCTGCAAGAACAGCCACTGCTCTTAACCACTGGGCCATCTCTCCAGACCACTCAGCAAGACTTTTTAAAGACATTAGTAGGCTGGGTGTGGTGGCGCTTGCCTTTAATCCCAGCACTTGGGAGGCAGAGGCAGGCGGATCTCTGTGAGTTCAAGGCCAGCCTGGTCTATATAGTGAGTTCTAGGACAGCTGGGGCTACAGGGAGACCCTGTCTCACAAAGACCATTTAAAAAAAAACAAACAAAAAAAAAGTTAGTGAAACACAACTAAAGCTGGCTTTGCCCTTAAAGTAGATTTTGGCACCTGAAAGTGTGAAATTGCTGTGTCACATTAAACATACTCCCTAATATTTGTGTTCCAGTATTTATATTTAATATTGGTCTTTCTTATGTTGCTTTATTTTGCTTTGCTATAAGATTTATTTTTATTTTATGTGTATTAGTGTATTGCCTGCATGTGTGTAAGTGCACCCATGTCTTGCCATGCCCAAGGAGGTCAGATGATGACATCAGGTTCCCCTGGAACTGGAGTTATGAATGATTGTTAACCAGCATGTGGGTGCTGGGAATTGAACCTGGGTCCTATCCAAGAGCAGCCAGTGCTCTTATCCTCTTGAGCCATCTCTCCAACCCCTAAGATTTACTTTTATTTATATGTGCATATCTATGTCCGTGTCTGCTACCTTGTGGGACCAGAAGAAAGTGTCAGATCCCCTGATGCTGGACTTACAGGTGGTGTGTGCCTCCTGATACAGGTAATGGGAACTGAACTGGGGTCCTCTGGAAGAAGTTTTAAGCATTCTTAACCACTGAGACTTCTCTCCAGCCCACTATTTTGCTGTATTAAAACATGTTAGAGAACTTCCCTGAAGTAGATTACTCAACCTGATACTTTTTACAGGATGTGGCTTTATTTGAAATGAATCGGTCTGATTTGAAAGAAGAGGACAGTTCGGACAAGAGCTCCCAAGATGATTCAGAGGGCAGTTCAGAGTCTGAGGATGAAGACGATGGTATCCCATCTGAAGTCACCATAGAGAACTTTAAGCTTCCGAATTCAGAAAGTGTCAAAGGCAAGATTGAAGTTTTGGACAGTCCAGCAAGTAAAAGAAAGAAGCAGTGAAATAAGTGATGTGAAAAGAAACAGGTACTGCCTACTGCCAGTTCTGAGAGAAGGGTACAGTTCCCAGGCTGATTTGCTTTCAGGTACCTAGGGTACTCTTAATTAAGACAAGTTCTTGCTTCTGGGAGCACTCAGAATGGAAAGTGTGCAGAGTTTCACTGCAGGGAGAGTAGTACCCTTTAATACCTGAAAAGGGAAATACTGAAGAAATAAGTTGACAGGTGCATGCAGGCTCTGGCTTAATATGATGTGGTCTGAACAGCTGGTGTTCAAGGACTTGGTGAAGCTAATCTGCTTGTATGTGCTCAAACCCAACTATTCGTTAGAAAATTCGCGCCCTCCAAATTAAGTTTTCGGCTTCTTTCTGTCCTAGGCAGGTTGCAGTTTGTTACCTAAGGACTGGTACTAGAGACAAGCCCAGAATAATGACCTCCTTATTTAACGTGATGGTGGATGTATTTTATTCAGAAAAACCAAAGTTTCCTTTTCAAGATTTGTAATGCATAGCACTTTGACATTTTATGAGGGTAGACTAATCTGTGCTCTTAAACTAAAGAGAGATTCAGTGTTAAGCTGGGCGTGGTGGCGCACACCTTTAGTCCCAGCACTTGGGAGGCAGAGGCAGCTGGATCTCTGTGAGTTCAAGGCCAGCCTGGTCTACAGAGCGAGTTCCAGGCCAGCTGGTGCTACAGGGAGACCCTTTCTCAAAAAGACCAAAAAAAGAGGGATTCAGTGTTTATAAAAATAAACTTTGTTACTGTATGAATGTGGACTCACGTCAAAAGAGCTAGAAGAATCATCTCTCTTTGAAACAGAACAGTACCCAAAGCCCAAAGAATGATTCCAGTGCCAAGTGAAGAGTTTTGTGATTACTCACAGGGCAGTGGGTGACTCAGGTAGCACTTCACTGTCCTACCAGTCTGGATTTTTTATCTAAGGGTAGCAAGGGGTGGGGTGGAAGAATGGGGTGAATGAGCAAAGAGTAAAGGAGCAGTCATTAACAATCACCCCAGGAGGATGCTTGATTATAGAACCATGGGCCTGTTATCTGGAGAAAATGGTAGACCTTCAATGTCCATTATCTCATCTATTGATGTACAGAGTGTGTTGGTTGCTTATGTTTATCTTTGCCTCCATTGTCAGCCAGGATTTCTAGTCAGTGGTCAACGTTAGCTGCTCTCTCAGACCTGTCAGGGTATCAGGCCTCCATAACTAGTTCTCCCATATTCCATCCCATTCTCCAGTTCTTACATTTTTTTTGCCTCTTCTTCCATAGTCCTTGAATCTTAGAAAGAGAGGTTATGGTCATTTTTTGTTACGCCTTGAGAACTGGGCTGCTGTTGTGGCTGCTGGACCACAACAACAGAATAGACTGCAGTCATGGGTACTTGCACTAAAATGATACACACTCATCCAAAGGGTCTGGTTCCAGGATGGTGCCCTGAACCAGGGGGAAGAAGCATCCTACACATTTGTATGGTCCGTATCACATGCGCCCTCTTCTAAGTGGGTCAAAGCACCAGTTACTTTGCCTCATCTGTTATGGAAGCACAGCTCCAAGTGTCAGTGAGTGCACACCAGGTCTGTGAGCAGCTGGGAGCGAACGCAGAGCCATCTTGTGGACCTATTTTTCCTCATTTGTGAGGTCTTTTTGTTTAGCAGAAACGTACTTGTATGGGTATGGTTCACAAGTTTAGCAGTAAACTTGGCCAGTGCTATTTGTATTATTGATCTAGAGCTCCTGCTTAGGGACTAAATAAAGTAAGTGGGTATTTCTGTAATAATGGGTTCACATCTTGGTGAATGCCAAGCCACAAAATCATGAACAGGACATAAAAGAGCGAAGGATTTTTTATTGAAGTGGCTACAAACTTGTCCCCTCATAGTCCTCTGCTGGAGAAGAGAAAGCTCTAAGGAAATGTTGGGTGTCACCATGCCTCATTTCCCCCGCCTGTTGTACCCTTTTGGGGCTCTTGGGAGATAGCCACAATGTGCTGTTTCTGCCTTTTTGGACACAGTGGGTCATAATCATATAAAGGCCCATTTTTAGGTTCAATCCAAGTTAGTACATTTTTGCAAAGTAGCATGTGTGAGCCACATTCAATTTATACATTCCTGCTACCAGGGCCTCACATGTAGAATGCAATTGTGGTGTGCTTTATTGATGTTCACATGGGAGGAACTGTAATGGTTTGGGGGATACCCTGTAAAATTTTTCCCAATTTTGCAGGGATGGGGGGTTGCAAAATATTCCAGGGCATACCAGCCTGACTAGAGTGAGCCCTCCATATACTAAACAGATGTTTTGGGTTGCTGCCATGGTTGCTTCCCATTGCAAGAAGTGGTTCCCTTTGGTGACAGTTGGTAGTGACATTATGACTCCATGGACGTAATTCAGAGGATAATTTCATGACACATACTTAACGACAGAGGCAGTCTCCTCATTTGGGCATAATAGTTTTTTGGCTCCAAGTTTTTGATGTGGCTTTTAGTACCAGATATCAATACCCTCTTGTGGAGTGGTCTGTACAAGGTATTGGAAGGATGTTGCCTGCGTCCATAACATGCTAATAGTCAAGTACTTGCGGTCTATAGCCAAGCCAAACAGCAAATGACAGTTCCCCTTTGTGACCTGAAGAGCACCCTCTGACACTTAACAGTAATCATGGAGGCGGGAAGTTTGTATTTTAAACCCCGGTTGGTGTCCCCTTCTCTTGAAGCCAGAGTACTTGCTTCAGCAGTAGGGAATGACTGTTCAGCTCTATTACACAAATAAGTATGGATGGTGTCAAGTGTATTTATGGTGTGGGGACCTCTGGGATCTCCGTGGTCAACAACTTACAGAGAGGTAGACCACCCCAGACACTAAGGTTTTTATATAACAACCTTATGGCTTCTGGAAGCATTCTTCATACATGTATGGCATCTAAACTTGAGCTGCTGTTTAACTGTATGAGTCATATTAATAGTCTGGTTTCTGTGTCACATCAGGAAAAAACTTGGCAAAAAGTCCTTTAGTGTAGCACTTTATCAGATATTCTGGTTTTATTGTCAGTGAAGTAGATGCAGTATTGATTTCTGCCTGCTTTTGAACTTACATGCAGCTAGTTAATTGGTGCTCCCAGACTCGTACCTTCCGGCTCACACCTCTTAAGACTGGGATCTGAAACCTATTAGAATTGCATGTCAGGATTGTTTTTGTCATGTGACAGCCAGCTCGAGCCCTCAGGAGCAGTTACCTGTTAAAACAGACTGGTGCTGGGAATACACAGTTGCGTGTCATGCCCCACAGGAATCAGTTTATTCAAAAGCCTTTTGAGGGAGGGGAGCATGTTGGGGGTGCCTGGCGGGAGGAGG